GGGGGGGGGGGGGGGGGGGGGGTCCAATGATGGAAGAAAAAAATATGTATGTATATATATAATGGAGCGAGCACGCTCTACGCCTGAAAGCGTATATCAACGACTGCAGCCGTAATTCCCACGATAGGGCGACTGCCAGAGGTTGCCCTATACCATGCAGCCACCCTCAGACGATTGATACGTAGTAGGCATCAGCGTATGGACCCATGGTCAGGCTTGTCAACACAAAAAGAGACATGTTTGCCTGTACACAGAAGCATCGTTGTGCAAGGGGGTAGCACGCCAAGCAATTTCTGACCTCTCAGGTCAAGGGTGAAGCTAAAACTATCTGGGCTTCCACCTCTGATAGTGTTTTTCCGTCAGTGACCGTGTAGTTTGGTGAAAATACAACGAAACGGATTTCCCCAATAATCGTTTTTTCTCGAACAAGTTGTTTGCCCTTTTTCGCCGTCGCGCGCTCTCGTTTTGCTCCTTGCACCCTCGGCGTTTTGATTCATGATGTCTCGCGATATGTCTAACCTGAATGAGAGCAAGCTCACCCAGGCGGAATTCAATGAGTAAGGGTGACAGTCTTCAAGGTTTCACCATCATGTGGGACCCAAGAGGCCAATGCACACTGCCTTTTGCTCCCACTCAAAATTTGTCGGAGATTTGCCACTTGATAGTTCCACATAGAAATAAAAAAAGATTAAATAATAATTTCTTTGAATTTGGGGTGAATCAAACCGACAGCACATTTTTCTCCCATCTTTGGGCGAGATTCAAGCAACCGATCTGAAAGTTATTCGCCACACTGGGTAGCATGGATCTATGCGCTTATCACGCACGCGTCGCTGCACGTATCGCTGCACACGGGAGCCTAGCTGCTTGCAAGCGCTGCAGCAGCTGGCGTGCTGTGTGCTTCTTTTGGCTGTATGACGTACTACAAGGAAGTCCATTCGTGCTTGATTTTCCGTTGGGAAAACGAGCAAGGCCCTGCTCGTCATGTTGTATTCGCTCGTTTCACAATCAAGCTACGTTCGAAATTGAGCATTGACCAATAAACCCCATATTGACACGGACAGAGAGTGCACACAGGTGGCAGCCTGCAATTCTTTGCCTTCATTCTCGACCCAGAGGGTAAGAAATCTATTGTAGTGCTTCACTTCTCGCTTCTCTCGTTGTATGTTTTTTCTTAGACCAGATCGCCGAGTTGATCTCGATAGCGAGACCCGAAAACCAGCTCCTACGGCCCACAGGCCACGCCGTACCCCGACACCGATCTATTGCATGTGGGCGTGGGGTTGTTCGGAACCTCTTAGTCTTTCGAGGCGTTGAGTATTGCAGCCATTGTTGTACCTTGAAGCACCTGAGGTGAGAGTCTGACCGTTCCTTTTTCATAGGCTTGTTTGAATGCAAGTTGCACAACCTTTTTTTTGCTATTTACCCGCGATGTTGCCCATTTACATTCCATGCTCGTACTCCTTCAGAATACCGTCTAAGGCGTGGAGATTTGTCTAACAACGGCTAGTACGGGTAGGCACACTATACACCCCACTCTGAGCGCGCCGGCTGGTGCAGGCAGCAAGCTTTACGCGTGCTTGTGTAGAGCGCTACTCTGCCTCAACCTCTCGAACCGGGAAGATGCGGTGTTGTGGTGAAATTTCACGCAGTGGCATACCCTGTGCCTGGTCTCTTGGCTCCAGGATTCAGGACGAAATGGAGGTACTCTATCCTTGCGGGTATCAGAGCTAGCCCCATAGAACGCCAACGTCAGGAGGTGCTACAACGAAACCCTGCTGTCGTGCCCAACCCTCGATGTCTCCGCAGATCATCGACAGAGGGATCGCTCTTCGAAAAAACCTCTGCCTTCCTCAGTCACAAACGACATCAGCCATCGTCCATGGCCTACGGGCGGGGGGTGTATACTCGTTCACTGTTTCTTGTGTCGCGGAGGTGGAAGGCGCGCTGCGACATGTGAGCACCAATGTAACTTGTTGTTTCAATTACTAAGTTTCTTGTGTCCACGAGTGCTTGGATACGTGGCAGAGGCATGTCTCTTGATCAAAAGCTCACGGAAGAGGCTTCCATGAGCTTTTGGCATGAAGTGATGCGTTGTTTCGCCAAGTCGGCAATACTTGACATTGATTGCTGTAGCACGTGCCGGTCATTGCGTAGAATGAGCACGTACAGCTCGGATGATGGGAGTCGTATTTACATCTGCTTGTTTTACCGCGCCGATTCGTGCCGCTTTTGCAGTCCCCACCATCTTGCATGTCGAAGCCGCTACTGATCCCGGAATCGAAGGAGGACCATCAGTGGCGCCTTGGAGGGATGCTTCAGATGGTAACTGGGAAAGATACACCCTCGAGTGGTACAACCGGCGAGGGTGGCGCAGCACCACAGGTGGGTTGGTAGGAAACTTCGAGTTTACGTGAAGTGCCACATGGGCACTGGCGGTATGGTATTGTGCAGCTTCAAAACTGTGGCATCGCATTGGAGATGAAGCGTTCACCAAGGCATTGTGTTTCTGCTGCTCTGTTGAGATGACTGCGATGAAAGGAGCTTTGAACCCATGCCTCGATCCTGAGCGTGAACTAAAAACACAATTTGGAAATAGCCTTTCGAAACGTGCCGTTGTGTATTGTTCACGGTGCGAAGGTGTACCGATTCTGGTAAAAGTCAATCGACGGATACCCTGCGAATCGGGTCCTCCTTAACACTCTCCACCCACAGAATTTACCCTTAACTGGGAACCTCGTGTGGCCAGGAGGGGAAATTCGATGGACGTGTCACAAGGTTCTTTGTAGGATCGACTCCAAGGTGTTCTCAGGACAGACACACATTGTGTCCATGGGAAAATGTCCAAGTCAGGAGAAACAATGTGCACCCAAGGGGATTCGAACCAGTATCCAGCTGAGGTCACATGCGAAGGTGTACCGATTCTGGTAGCAGTCAACCTACGGACACCCTGCGAATCGGGTCCTCCTTCACAACGGTACCCCAATGAAATATCAGGTTCGACGGGTGACCAACCAATCTCCCACAAGTATTGACCAGCGACGGGGTCCTGCAAAGAGTTTCAGCGTGTCCTGGGCGAAGGTGCAGTGCATGAATACTGAAAAGGTTTAAACGCATGCAGTATATGTCGCATGTCTGTGTCGACTCTTTGTATACATGCCGGAAGGAATCGAGGTCGACGTAAAAACGGTGTACCGTTTGGCGTTCGAAGTTGAATATAAGACTGTGCTGGCACATCAGGCAACGGAACCTCAAGCGCGTGGCCGTTCATGCCCGAATGTGTGACGCTCTCTCGCTCAAATGGTTGCTTCCCCGAACAACAGGATGATATCGCTCCCACGATAGATCAACGACAGCCGGCAAGTTACCGCGTGAGCGATGATGTGATCGTGTCTCCGTCGGGCGACTTCGGGCGGTCCTTAACAAGCAATGCCAGCGAGTGGGAGCCCAAACACGCTTCCCCTGTGGTGCCTTTGCGACGTCGCTCGCAGGTCAGAAGCGCCCAGTATTTGAGAGATCGACAGAAATGTGGAGTATGGGGTTTTATCATCAGCGACGCGGCCGATTTCCAAAGGGGTCTTTGGCTCAACCCAAGACATCGCCCCTTGGCGGCTGGCTCCAGTTGCTTGCAAGTGCTGTTTGTCAAGAGTACCTGAGATGGTAAACATTCTCACGCTGCCAGTTTCGTATGTACTCATGCTTGCCTCGCCACGTCTTATCAGTCGTACGCGAGCTCCGCGACGCGAGCCGACACATTCCTACAGACTTCGACGGCTGACGAGACAATTCGAGCCTCGATGGCGTTCCCCCCCCCGAGTACATCCTCACATTTGGAAGAAGGAACCGAAGCGCGGCCGTTATTCGGTGACATGACGCCGCACGCTGGACGGGCCCAGGGAGAAATGGGTGGCGGAGGAACCCCTCTGACCTTCTCGACGAATAGTTCGGGATTTGAAGCGAGCGAATTTTACGAAGACGGTGGTTGTAGCGTTAGTTAGATAGTTGGGCGTTTGCAGGGCAACGCGTTTTCGTTGTCTGGGCGATGGGGTGAGCAGAGGTTGACGTTGGGATGAGCTGAGTCGGCCTAGGGGACTATCTCCGCTGCCCACGATAAGGTTGACCATGTTTTACGGAGGTAAACTTGCGCAACCTAGGCGTGTTCGTTGGATCGTAGCTCTGGCTCCATATGGCATCAATGTCATTATTAGGTGCTACTGCTGCTCTAGACCAACTTGTTTGTTCGTTGGTGTCATTTTCGTGTTTTGTTCTTGCCCGTCAACGACATCGGCGGGGTTTGTTCTGAACGTAGGTGGTGATCATGTGTTTGAAGTGGTAGCTCGGTCGTCGTACGGTTTAAGCCATCCCTGTATTCAGATGTTGATAAATACATGCGGTAGCTAGACTAAATGTCTCCCTTCTTGCTTTTCACGGTCTTACGATACACGACACCTTGTTATGATCATGACATGGGATAGACTAGGAATAGTTCTTCTGGAAGTCCGCAGGCTGTAGAAATCAGCTCACGACGAGGGGGAGCTTTCTTCTATGCTGGTACGTACCAGCTACAATGTTGCATGTAGGCACAGGCGGATCTTTTCGATCTTGCATCGCATCATGTCTTCATGATATCATCACACACATCCCTCGCAAAACGCACTCAGGATCAGGAGCTGGGAAGCCGCAATTCATGGGCGCAGAGTTGGGTGGGATTGGGCTATAGACGCAGCTCTCACAAGGGAGTGCAGAGGTATGCACATCTCACCCTTTCAACACAGCATAGTACAACAGATACGTGGACGCTGGGAAGTAGCGAGTCGGGGTAGGGAGTATCGGTACACGTGTATGTATTCACGGAGCCCCAGAGAGCGGGACACATGACCCAAGGACCTGCGAAAGACGAGGGCCGCAAACGCAATCGCATTGACAGAGAGGCAATGCCAACCCCGACGCACATCCGTGCGTTCGAGCTGAGGCTTGGGGCCAACTGGAGCAGCGAAGATGTGGTACACATGCTCACGCCGGACTTCGTGGAATCAGTGTTACTCCACGGTTTCGCCGCACTCGATCCTACCATAAAGGTCAGTCAGCGAGGGCGGAGAGGGGCGCGCCACCTGCACCCTGTTGGGCGTTCAACCTTATAGCCGCTCGGTATTGTATCTAAATGTTGCCGATACACCAGTCTGTAGAGCTGTTGCTGAACCTGTGACCGTTGCCTCAAAAGCAACGTTAGACTTCGCCAAACAGCAGTAGTCTTTTCTCCCAGCAGCGCGAGACAGCTGCAGTCGGCCCCGCTTTAAGGACGCTCGCGTTAAGGAAGCTCCCCGCTTAAAGGAAACTTAACTTGTTTTGCTGAGCACCGGGGGCCCGTCACGAACCACGCACCACAGCAGTGAGTGCACAAGTAGCGATGCACGGACAGCAGAAGTAGCGAGCGGTCTGGTGCTGCAGCTGTAACTGGGTGTTGGTGTGGATAGATTCCTCCCATATACCGGCAGTCCATCTGATGCCTCCAAAAAAAGAGTCGTGCATAACCTCGTCCCTCACCGAGGGCGAGGTTACCTCTTGCTTGGCGGACGTTCGATCCTACAGATAGCGCCCGCAGTTAGGAAACGTCAAAATCGGTTCGAGCCTCACCAATCCCTTCTTTTGGGTCGAAGTACCGCCCCAAGTCGTCCATTTCGTAAATGGCATTTCTTCTTCCTTTGGACTGTGGCATCCTCCCGATTCTCTTATTCCTTAGACTTGAACAAGTCCTTAGTATTTACTTTTTTCTGTCTTTTGATCTCTGAGGACAATCCACATCATCAAGCCCTCAAGAGAGGTGGTGGAGAGTGCCATCACACCCGTACAACAGCGGAGAGCATATGGTTGTCCGCGATGTGGCAGTACTACAGTGCAGCACTCACTGTGAACAGCAGGGGCGTGGGGGGCGGGAGGAGGGGGGGACTCTGCCCCCTAGAAAAAAAAATGCACTTCTGTTCAGCTTGGGGGTGGGTGGGAGCACCGCAGATTTCTGATGTCATGTGGGTATCGCACCATCACGTATTTTATTGGGGCGTTTCTTACGTTGTGGCCGAGATTCAGCTGTGTTTCTTAAGACTGTCTTTCTTATTTTTCGTACAATTTTGAGCCTTTTATCTTAACAGATTTTTTCTTAACTGCGGGCGCTATCTGTATTTGTACGCCAAGGGAAGGGGTGGCGAGTACCGTGAGACGCAATACCTTCTTTCGAAGACCGTTCATTCGTTTACTCAATAAATTTCAACAGAGCCGTAGAGCCAAGCCGCGGGGGGAGGTTCAGGGAACTCTTCGCGATATGTGGAAGGAAAAGCCATCAGGGTAGCTTTTGGTCTCCGCCGGGACAGTGATATGTACTGGTGTTCCTCGGTGCGACGCTGACATACTCTCGTCTTTTTTTTGTTTCACAAGAATGAGATAAATATATGTCTACTTGGACTTTCCTCCTTCTTCCGCTGCCGGCTATGCAGTACATTAGTTGGCCAAGTACAAACTGGTGTACTGTAGTTGTTTTCAACACGTCCCCGACTGCTGTACATCTCATTTCAAGTATTGTAAATATGTTCGACGTCAACAAACGGTTGCCAGTCGTCTCGGCGATGCTGACTTTTCGTACCACTCCCTTCCTTAGCAAAAGACGCGTAGTTTGAGGTATAGCATGCCTCCATTGTCCCCGGGGATGGTGAGCTATCGTCCCCTTAATTTTTAGGACGCAACCCCACTTCAAGGACGCTTTTTTTCGGGGAAAACCACGTGCGTCCTTGAAGCGGGGTCGACTGTAATACAAAAGCCGTGAGGCGCCCGGTGCTCTACTCGGTGAGACTCAAATGTGTGCGAAACCACGACAACCGAACGAGGGTGATCGCCCGTCGAAGTACCACGCCTCATGTGTTGCACGATGGAGCGGAGAGAGAGAGAGAGGGAGAGAGAGAGAGGGAGAGAGAGAGAGGGAGAGAGAGAGGAAGAGATATGGGGAAGACAGGAGAAAAGGGACCAGCTTGTACATGTACACACTAAGAAGTGTAGGGTAGTTGACCGTTGATGAAGGTGTCTGACTCACACACGCTCCCACTCTAGGATTGACTGCCGCAAACTTCAAAATACCTTCCAGTCTCTACCACACGGCAACGGCAAGCAACACATGGGCGTTCTTAGGTTCCAAAAACACACAGAACACCCCCCTTACAACGCTAGCAAAACGGGGAGTCGCATCAAGATGCTGCAAGCTGTCGCACGCTGCTGGGAGAGGACTGTTGCAAGTACAGTCGACCCCGCTTCAAGGACGCACGTGGTTTTCCCCGAAAAAAAGCGTCCTTGAAGTGGGGTTGCGTCCTAAAAATTAAGGGGACGATAGCTCACCATCCCCGGGGACAATGGAGGCATGCTATACCTCAAACTACGCGTCTTTTGCTAAGGAAGGGAGTGGTACGAAAAGTCAGCATCGCCGAGACGACTGGCAACCGTTTGTTGACGTCGAACATATTTACAATACTTGAAATGAGATGTGCAGCAGTCGGGGACGTGTTGAAAACAACTACAGTACACCAGTTTGTACTTGGCCAACTAATGTACTGCATAGCCGGCAGCGGAAGAAGGAGGAAAGTCCAAGTAGACATATATTTATCTCATTCTTGTGAAACAAAAAAAAGACGAGAGTATGTCAGCGTCGCACCGAGGAACACCAGTACATATCACTGTCCCGGCGGAGACCAAAAGCTACCCTGATGGCTTTTCCTTCCACGTATCGCGAAGAGTTTCATGAGTAAACGAATGAACGGTCTTCGAAAGAAGGTACTGCGTCTCACGGTACTCGCCACCCCTTCCCTTGGCGTACAAATACAGATAGCGCCCGCAGTTAAGAAAAAATCTGTTAAGATAAAAGGCTCAAGTTTGTACGAAAAATAAGAAAGAAGATCTTAAGAAACATAGCTGAATCTCGGCCACAACGTAAGAAACGCCCCAATAAAATACGTGATGGTGCGATACCCCCATGACATCAGAAATCTGCGGTGCTCCCACCCCCCTCCCAAGCTGAACAGAAGTGCATTTTTTTTTCTAGGGGGTAGAGTCCCCCATGCCCCTGCTGTTCACAGTGAGTGCTGTACTGTAGTACTACTGCCACATCGCGGGCAACCACATGCTCTCCGCTATTGTACGGGTGTGATGGCACTCTCCACCACCTCTCATGAGGAACGAGAGAATCGGGAGGATGTGACAGTCCAAAGGAAGAAGAAATGCCATTTACGAAATGGACGACTTGGGGAGGTACCTCGACCCAAAAGAAGGGATTGAGGCTCGAACCGATTTTGACGTTTCCTAACTGTAGGATCGAACGTCCGCCAAGCGAGAGGTAACCTCGTCCTCGGTGAGGGACGAGGTTATGCACGACTCTTTTTTTGGCGGCATCAGATAGACTGCCGGTAGATTGGAGGAATCTATCCATACCAACACCCAGTCACAGCTGCAGCAGCAGACCGCTCGATACTTCCGCTGTCTGTGCGTCGCTACTTGTGCACTCACTGTGGTGCGTGGTTCGTGCAAAGGGCGGCCCGCAGGGCCGCAGGACACAAAAGGGGGGTACGCGACAGAAAAATAGGGTACCCCCGTTATCATATATTCTGCCGGCCCCCCTGATGCTCAGCAACACAAGTTTCCTTCAAGCGGGGAGTTTCCTTAACACGAGCGTCCTTAAAGCGGGGTCGACCGTACAGCAGTAAACCAGCAAACGCTCCCAAACCCCTCCCCTTGACGTGATACCGTTTGAGCGTAAACCCCTCCGAGCTGACAACTGTCTGTGAACGACGCCCCCGAAAAGTGTGGGGCCGGATGGAGGCCCTCAGATGAAGACCCACGTGGATTCTTTTGTGCGTATGCATTCGAAGTATGCTTACGATGAAAGACTATGTCCCATTTTTCTCAAAGTCTTCCGTTTACAGAACACGCCCCCACATAAGAAACCTGTACATGTAGTGTATGTGTAGTTTCGAGGCTTGGGTTGTTAGTTCCTCTGCGGGTCATGCTACAAATGGTCGCTACCGATCACTTCGTGAGCTCGGCAACCAGGTAACCGCTTTTCTTGTTTTTTGCCTCTTCTTTTTGCGGTAACCCACAATGGTGGTCGAGTAGATTATGTTGTGCAGGTTCAAGAACCCTCACTCCGCGCAAAGGGGATGATCGCACCACGTTGTGTCAAATCGGTCAAGCACCCTCGAGGCAGTTACACAGTGCTTACAACTGTCTCTGGAAGTGGAAACACCAGAAAATAAATTAAGTCATACGCAGCTGCCATCCGTACGCAAGGAGGTAAGCACAGATGCCGAACACCCTCAGCAGGATGCAGCGCACCCTTCATGCGACTCGCCGAATATCTCACGGTGCTTCGCGCTTGGTGATGTGAGAGCCTGGTCCGGTGAGAACCCGGCGTACTCCGTCCCGGCTTTGTAGGGATGCGAGGTCAATGGTCTAACGACTACGGCACGCACGACTATGAGTCCCCCCACACACACACACACACACGCGCGCGCGCGTTCTAGAATAGGGTAGATATTCTCGCTGCCAAGTTATCACTTGGATCGATCATTGGGGGCGGAAAGTGTTGTTTCTCGTACGACATCGAAACTTAAAAGTGACCTCTTGGTTTCCCTTCGTCTCGGTGTTTTTATTCTGTGCGCAGGTAACACCGTCACATCCGTTTTATGGAATACTCTAATACAGATCGTAAGGCCCTTACGGTGGCGCTTTCGAGCTCAAGTCAGCACTCCTGTATACTGCTTGTACATATGCGTAGGTCGATGCACCAAAAGAGATAACAGAGCCGACCAAGTGCTGGTTTTCGCGTCTCAGGTCGAAATGCGCGTTGGGAACAGCCTTTGTTCACTGACCATTGCTCGTGTGACAAACTTCAACCTATGATTTTGGCCAGCCAAGTTGTGACCGTGTTTATGTACTATGTGGAGGAGCAGCTCCACGTCTCATTCGTTTTTTTGTTTCTTATCTTTGACTCAAAACCAAGTACCTGGTCGCATGGTCAACTTCTTGTACTCCACAAACCCCCGATTCCAAAGTTGTATAAAAAACTAACCCTAACCCAGTTTTGAAACTCATGTGAGGAAAATTGACGAAAATTGGTATTATCACCCCTCTTTCCCCGACGAAAGTGGGGCTTCGAAAAACCGCCTGGTGGCGACTGCCAACGAGCGAGTCAACCGCACTCCAAATCCCATTCTGACGCCTAACCAACATGGCCAGGACCCATGCATCCATTTCTACGATTTTGCTTGCATGTCGCCAGGCCCAACACCACCAACACCACGGCTCACAAGACCGCATCAGGTTTCCTTACTTTGTCGGGCATTCGGCTGGATGTTGTCAACGACTTCCACCCGCTTAAAACCCACCATTGTCCGAAATGTACCCACTTTTGTCTGCTTTCGGGCGTCGAGAATCAACTCCCACTTTACCGCATGGCGGAACATCGATCAGTCTCGGAACGTCTCCGAAAACTCTCCACCGCATAATTTACAACCAAAGACACCGACCGCGGTGAAACAATGAGGCCCGGTCGGTTTGGCTGGTTGGTTGACAAACACACGTTCAACGGCGAGCAAGTAAGCAATCAACGCTAATCAGACCCTTCAGGGGTAGGTGTAACTCACGCGCGCACACACAGGCAACGCCCACAAGGCATGTCACACGACGAACTCCAACGGATCGCGCGCGCGAGTATACAAGAAGGAGGTGCTGCTCTCTCCCCCGTTTTATCTCTTTCTCGCGCGACGAACACGGTGTAACTTTCCGATCATCATCTCCAGTAGCTTGCTCGCCGTTGTAGAACATGTGTTGGAAATGCTCTGCAGACGTTCCGAGACTGATCCAAGGTTTACCGTGCGGCGACGTGAAGTTTGATTTTCGAGGCCCGATAGTAGTATTTCGGATGGCGATAGCGGGTGCTTGAACGAAATAGTAGATTTCGGTGGGTGTATCCACCCGAACGTCGAACAAAGGAGGGCAAACTTTGTTCGAACCTTGTGCGCCACGGTGGTGTTGAACCTGGAGAAGTGCAAGACAATTCGTAGAAGTAGATGCATGGCGCCTGGCCATGTTGTTCAGGCGTGAGAATGAATTTTAGAGTGGTTGGACTCGCTCACGGGCGGTCGCCGCGAGGAGGTTTTTCCATGAGCCACTTTTGTCTAACAAGGTGTGTCACCCTCTCTTGTCCATTTCCCTAACAAAAAACAAAAAAAGAGTGGGCTCGCTCCTGTGTGACCCCGGCTGATGCATCCGGACACTATACTAAATTGTGTCAAGACTGACATCCGGAATATATGAGCCGACAACACCCATACCCACACCCATACGCACACAGCGGAAGGCCAAACCCATCGGATAGTTTTGTTTTGTTCTGTGGAGGCTTATCTGGAATCGCTGTTGCAAGCCGACATGCGTACACGTTCGCCGTGTTGCTTGGAATCCAACAGCACCCTTTTACGGTACCGGCGTACTCCACAGCCCTGTCATCAAACTCGTTTTTCTCGAGAAAGCCAGATTGATCGCCTGCGCTCACCGTAAAGCTCACTGGTACCCACCGCTTCAATTCCGCGTCGTCTCTTGCCATTTGGTGTAACAGATGAAAGCCCTCATTGCCTTCCTGGGGGTCAGAGTGGAGCATCTTGCGTCCCTTAAGCATGTTCTACCGTCGCTTTTGGGGATGGCGGATAGCGATAAAGACGAGTGGGTCCAGGTAGTGTCCGGGCTTGTACGTCAAAAACTCTTACCGAGGAACGAGGATGATTCGACCAGCGTCGGCGATGAGGCAAAGACTTCACAGAGTGATTTTGTCTTGCGCAAGACCGTCAGGGAAGTCCTCGAGCGGGCAAAGCAGAATATGTCGGAGCGGGCAGGCAACGGGGAACAGCGGGTTTTGGGTGGCAGTACCATCGACGGCAACAGCGATACTCGGCGCATGTGGGAGGCACCTTACTTCGGCCCGTTGGAGGAGAGGTACGTCAGCCGTAAGCAGCAGCCTCGAAAGGAGGAGTTCGCCAATGCGCACTTCAGCGTCAAGTACGATTTTGTCAGCGAATTCTCCGAAGACCTCGCTTCCAACGTTGGTGGCACCTCGAACACATCTTCTTCTCCGACGGGAGGGGGTGCGTCTGTCGCTGCGGCGGCGCTCGCGTCAAGAGTTGGCCAGGGGGGGTTGTTAAAGACCCCGGGCTCTTTCGCTCCCGCGCCCACTCCGGCGGCACCGAACCTTGCGCAAGCTCGAAGGGTTTCGCTTGCTGCTGTGGTGGATCCATCCGCGGGGTCCGACGGCCTCCGCAGGACTAGCAAGCCGTTGGCATTGTCGCGGAACTACGTGGGGCTCCAGCATGGTTCCGGGCGGACAAGTTCAGGTGTTGGGGGCGCCCGCGGAACGCGGGGAGGGGGCGGGGCGGGGCCCGGCAAAGCAGGGTTGATGATGATCAATGTGGACGAACTGCAGGCAATTCACGCTGAGAAACAGTCTGCAAGGGAGAAGGCAAAAGGCAAACCGGGTAGGAAGAAGGCCAAACTTGAAGGGGGGGGGGAACAAAGTACGGCCGGCATGGAGCCTGGTACCGGGGCGTCAGCAACTGGAACCCAACAGGTTGTTGCTAACGCCACGGACATTGGCAACACGGATGGGCAGTTACCGGAGGGAGCAAGCGGCGAGGGGAAAAAAGCAAAGCCGAAGGCACCAGCCAAGCCTTCGGCAACGGTAGATGGTCCGATGCCCGTACCGCAGCAGGGCGAGATCGAGGCAGTCGCAGCCATGATGGTTCTTGGTGTCGCTGGGGGGGGTGAGGATGCGGAGACCTCTTACCTGCCCGAAGCATTGACGAAGCTCTTGGAAAACGCCAATTCGCTGCGACCGGAGGGTAAGGCCAAGCTGGAGAGTTTTTTCCAAAAGAAAATGCCAGAAGGGTCGCAGCAGGAGAGGGTCAAGTACCACGAGGAGGTTAGCCCTGGGGCGGACGGGGAAATGATGCGAGTGACAAGCTACATTCGCCTGGATTATGAGACCTGGGTGTGGGACAGGGTTCACAAGAAGAAGCGTGTCAAATCGTGACGTAGTGAGTAGAGTGGGGAGTTGCCCGGATGGGCCCCATGTACATGTAACGGTGAACCTGTTCGTAGAGTCGGTCTCCATTTCGACTTGGCATGATTTATGTGGTGGTTGCGGATATCTGATTGCGGCGCCAGGAGAACGAGGTCGGCAAAACACACTCAACCACCAATTAGGTGTGTCCTTTAAGCTGTCGGCCATCCATGTGATATACCTTTGAAGTATTTTTTGTTGTGATATGCAACTGGGCTGCTCCACACGGGTTTTCGTCACAACTGCTGTACATTATCCCTCAGTTCCAACGAATGGGCATTTGCTGCCATGTCCTCTTCAATGCCGTGAGTTATGCAGCGCGTCGAGCGTGAAGGGAGGTCCTGTGTCTACTTTATGGAGATTGAGGCATGCCCACAACATACACAAGTGTTAGAAGGGCGCACCAAATCACCCCCCTCTCCGCGGAGGATCGTGCCAGACGGACGCGAGATTTCTCATGTGGACTGACTGCACCCACCCGCGCACCAATAGTCTAAGTGTGAAAACAATGTTTGGAAATCGGAACGGTATTCGACGAAAATCGTTGGAGGGAGGCACAGCTATCATCCTGTTTGAACCCACCCTTGAACACAGCGACGCCACTCCGGTGGCGGCGTGGACAAAGAGAGTACAAACTGCTTGTTTCCTCTCTTCGTGCAATTTGAGTGCAGGCGGTATGTCCGCTGTGAAGATCAATAATGTGTGTGTGACCGGATTTACGCTGTGGTCTGCCCTGCGTATGCTAGATATACTACAGCAGCAGCAGCGGTACTGCTGGGAGCGATGCTACGACAATGAGCAGGCACTCGTAGAATGGGTTACGTCTATTTTTATTTTCTCTGCGTAGACCTAAACCTTTCGGGAAGTGACAAAAGCGCAGTGCAGGTATGCACAATAATAAGAGGTTAGAGTGAAGTACCTGGCAACAAAGAAAGGTAGGTACTTTGGACGTGGCGATATCCGGCAAAGAGTTTCACAGACAGGCTTTCTCTGTGCGCGGGAAGAAATGCAAGGCACGGCTTACAGAAGAAACTAAAAACAATGAGAGTGGCGGCTCCCTCGGGCCAATCAAGAATGAGAGCTGGTGCATACATGTACAAGAATACAAGCCGGGGTGGTGGCATATAGACTATATTTTCACAAAATAAATGCCTGATCAGCGAGTGAGTGCATCCATATATATCTCTCCACATCTCCTTCTCCACACATCCGTACATCAACTTCATTCAGACCATCTTTCTTTGTAGGCACAAATACATTTGCAAACCTTTCAGAATTCCGCGATGCGTTATAGTTTATTTGCAAACATAAACGGATTGCCCTTCTCGAATACTTTCAGATGTGTAGCGGTGATGAGGTCGCAACACGTGTGCTTTTTCTTCGCGTCTTCGTTGTACATTGTCAACTGTATTAAAAAACTGTTCTTTAAAAATGCGAATTTTTTAGGATTGAGAGAGAGCTAAGACAAATAACTAAGCCCAACGCAATGGTTGGCGACCAGGGGAGCAAATAAAATGGATGAATTTTCTCTCTCCACCCCTCTCTCGCTGGGTGTCCATCTGCAAGCGCCATTTTCCACACCGCGCGACCTTCTCCATCGAAGCACCGACGCTGGCCAGCTTGCGTGGGCCCTCTCCCGTTGCCTCGCTTTTGATCCTCTGTGGCTGGTGTTTTCCTGAGCAGAGAGGGACGCGGAGGTCGGTGAAAATCTGCCGAGGAGCTAAGAGCGAGCAAGAAGCCGAGAGCGACAGAGCGACAGAGAGCACGACTCACTGCGATTTATCTCACACTCGCTCGAACTTAGCCGGACCGGGTGGGATCTGCTAGATACCGTTGTGGGTTGTGGGTGGCCTCGCGGTTGTCGCCCAGACGCATCGGTCATTTCCAGACCAAGCGCTTGGTGTTGGTGTGTGTCAGTGCAGCTCCAGCTTCAGTGACGGTAGCTGTCAGAGGGTAGACCAAGGACCACCCGAGCGGACGCGCTGCCTGTTTTTTTCGGACTTCGTGTGTCGCGCGGCGGATAGTGTGTGTACCGCCGCCGGTGATCGAAGTCGGCGCAGAGGTGCCAAGCAAGCATGGCTCAGCGAAGTGGAGATGATGAAGTCGCCGATAGGATGGCGAACATCAACCTCGAAGGATTGGCTGGCGGCGAAGCCAAGTCCTCCATCGGTCCCGCGGGCTTGATTCACAAGGTGATCAGACGTTACACACACACAAAATTTTTTTGTAGCTGGTCGCACCAGTTACCGGACACAACACCCTCCCATGGTCGGGGCTGTCAACCGTGCCTCGACCTGTAATTCTCGACACCTGACCGGCGTATATTCTGGCAACGGTTGCAAACTCTGTGTGCAGGATTCGGATGCCATCAAGCTGTTTGTTGGACAGATCCCAAAGCATATGGAGGAGGAAGACTTGAGGCCGGTGTTTGAGGAGTTTGGGGAGATCTTCGACTTAGCAGTGATAAGGGACAAGATTTCCGGTCTACACAGAGGTGCGTATCGAGTTCGTCTGGCCGGAGTCCCTGTGTATTGGGTATACGCAGCAGCAGTGTGGCTCGTTGACTTTTGACCAATCTCGTGTATCCTCTGCAAAAGAACCATCCCCTCTCGCGGCGGTCCACCCTTTGTTGACCAGCCGTGCCGCGTTGGCTCCAGTTGACGCAGCCGATGAGACAGACAGAGCAGCGAGCAGCAGCACGGGGAACCCACAGCATACAAACAACTGTGATTTTGTGGTACTTCGTATTTTATTTTTCTCGTTTTTGTGTAATTCCACCCTCGCCGCTTCCCGCGGCTCGCAAGGCAGGGTGCGTAGTTACACAGAGGCCGCAGCAACACGGCGGCACGTACGTACTCGTGGACCAAACTCTGGGGACTGTCCATAGGACCGACTATCATTGAGCGGTGTTGGCATCCTTTCTGTCGGCCCTGAGAGTAGAGTCCCAGCCCGACGGCTGCCGATCCACAGCTTATTTTCCCGACAAGAGAAGCATGATCTTGATGTGTGGGTGTCCCTGTCTCTCCCTGACTGACTGACTGACTGACGGACACTCAGAGGCACACAAGACAACCACCCACGTGTGCAAAATTCCCGGGCCGTAGAAATTCCTCTAGCACCGTGGTGATTTTGGGTCTATTGTAACATTTGGCATGGATCCTCACTCGTTTTGTGGACAGGTTGTGCTTTCCTGACTTACTGCGCACGGGTCTCGGCGGATGCTGCGATTGCGGCGCTGCATGGTCAGCGGAGGTTAGACCGGGTGAGTGGATTTTCGGTTGTTTTATTTGCCCACAGTACACCACGAAGACTGCTATGCTTGGGTGTAACATTTCTTAGCTGTATTGTGGCTACCGCATGTAGCGTGCATGCTGTATTTCGGAAATTTTATAACTTTCAATGGTTCGAAAGTTCAACCAGGCATCGCTTCCTGTGCGATAGTTCTACTTTATTTTTACTTCTGGTACACTTCAGTGGTATTCAATAGTGGTCGTTGAGTACGTGCGTGACACCACAATCCTGAAAAATACAGCTTTCCGCGAGGCTCTGTTGGTGTGCCCCTGAGATATTTTTCCGAAATGGATTTCTGCGAAGTACAAATCGGCTCTGTCGGCGAGCTTTCCTGGGAGGCGAGGTATGCATACTCCCTCTGCGTCTTGTGGCCTTGTCGCCCACACCGAATCATCCTTGTTGGCCCCTACGCGGAGACTTGTGTTCAACCAACCGCCGCTCCCTTGGGGCGCATGTCGCCTGCTGCCGTTACCGGTCGATAGGTTCTTTCTAACGACCAGCAAGTAGATATGCCGACTTCTGCTTGAATCGTGTTTCGCAACCCAACTTGACATTCAGCAATGCATACGTCGTTGATGCAGCGTGAACGACAACAGCTGTTGATTTTTTACCAGTGTGCGCGATTGATGTTATGGTACCTTTTCTTCTTCGTTTTGCCTCCTTTCCCCTCTGGCCGGTGCTTTGCTACACCAGGGTCAGAATCCGCTGCAGGTGCGACCCGCGGAAGGCCAGGCTGAGCAAGAGAACAAACTTTTCGTCGGGATGGCTCCCAAGTCAGCCAACGAGGACGAGATTCGGGCCGTATTCGCGCCTTACGGCACGCTCCGCGAGATTCATGTCATTCGCAACCAGGACGGCACCAACAAGGGCTGTGCGTTTGTAAAGTACACCACTCGCCAGAGCGCTCTGGACGCTATCGAAGCCCTCCACGAGCAATACACGATGCAGGGCGGGCCTCGCCCGCTGGTGGTCAAGTTTGCCGACAACAAGCGCGGAACGCAGACCGCGGCGGTTCGTCTCGGCGGCCTAATCGGCTCCCCCGGCCGCCACGGGAGCGGCCCCCACCCCGAGGCTGGCGGGTGGATGGGTCACCCGGGAGCAGGCGGGCAAGGCGCAGGGTACCCGTACCCCATGCCGGGGCCACCGATGTCTCCTCACATGATGAGTGGCATGCCATACGGAATGGCCTACGGGGGTGGGCAGGCTCCGGGCGCCCCGGCGCAAGGGAGCTACGTCTACTACCCCTACGGCGCACCGGGGTACCCGCCTCAGCCGGGCGGACCCGGACAATACCACTCTGGACCACCGAGTCCATCACGGGGAGGTGGGGGCTACGGTGGTGGAGGGCACCCGCGGTCTCCATCTGGGTCCGACCGCCACAGGGCGCGCGGTATGCACGAAGGTGAGGCTGGCGGGGGCGGGGGTGGCACCCGGCCGGCCGAGGGCCCCCCGGGAGCGAACCTGTTCATTTATCACCTGCCCCAGGATCTTTCGGACGCGGACTTGGCTACTGCATTCGCACCCTTTGGGCATGTGCTGAGCGCCAAGGTGTACATCGACCGGGCTTCGGGGGAAAGCAAGGGCTTCGGTGAGAAGGCGTCGGTGTCGTTTTTGCCACGTGTCGAGTATCCAGGTACTTGACCTTTTATATGTTGGAAGACGTAGACAATACACCCTGCTACACACACTAATAGGTTGCATGCTGGTCGTTGTTACATTACACAGTATAACCAACCCGTTGTACCACAAAAAACGATTTCGTGTGCCTGTCGGGGCGGGTCATTTGGATGTGATGCACGAGCAGGTTTCGTGTCATACAGCCAGCCATCGCAGGCAGAGGCCGCCATCGCGCAGATGAATGGCTTCCAGATCGGGTCTAAGAGGCTCAAAGTGCAGCACAAGCGCCGTGGGCAGTCGACCGATGACCCAGACGATCGCGACGAGGGAGGGGGGGGTGGAGGGTATGGAGACCAAGGACAGGGTGACTATTATCCTCACCCGGACTACATGGGACACCAGGATGGCAGGTGCGCATTTTACTGCACCAGAAGAGTGCAGCAGCATCCAGCCGTAAACTAGGTTATGCGTGCT